TAGCCTTGTACTAGCGTGGGAAAAGGAGGTAAGGGTGACAGTTTGGGTTTTACCTCTTTTATATATCCCAGCCTCAGGTGAAATATTATAAGGAGAAATATGAGGTGCAAAGATTTAGTGATTTCAGTCTCCTCCCTTTTCTCCTTTTCCAGTATAGCTAAAGATTTGTCAATTTGGTACATCTTTTGAAAGAACCAACTTTTGGGTTCACTGATTTATTTTTCCAGTTGTTTTTTCTGTTTTCTATTTCATTTATTTTCACTCTGATCTTTTGTATTTCCTTCTTTTTTGCTTCAGGTTTAGTTTGTTCTTTCTCTCCCCCACTAGTTTCTTAAGGTGGAAGTTTAGATTATTGAATTGAGATCTTTCTACCTTTTTAATGTGGACACTTACAGCTCTAAATTTCCCAGGAGGCATTGCTTTCACTGCATGCCCATAAGTTTTGGTATGTATGTCTTAATTCATCTCCAAGTATCTTCTAATTTCCTTTGTGATTTCTTCTTTGGTCAGTTGGTCATTTAGGAGTGTGTTGTTTAAAATCCATGTATTTGTGAATCTATACTAGATTCCTTCTATTTTTGATTTTTCTATTATTTCCTTCTATTATTGATTTTTAATTTCATTGCATTATGGTTGGAGATCATACTTTGGATGATTTAAAACCTTTTAAATTTATTGAGACTTGTTTCATGGTTTAATATGTGGTGTGTCCTGGAGAATATTCTATGGGCACTTGGTTTGAAGGATGCGTATCCTGCTGCTGTTTTGTGGAGTGTGACATACACGTCTGTCATGTCTAGTCGCTTTATAGTGTTGTTCGGGTCTTCTGTTTTCTTCTGATTTTCTGTGTAGTTGTTTTCTCCATTATTGGAAGTGAGGTATTGAAGTCTCCAACTTGTCTTTCTTCCTTGGATTCTGTCAGATTTTGCTTCATGTATTCTGGGCCTTTTTCACAGATGTGTATATAATTGTTACATCTTCTTAATGGATTGACCCTTTTACCATTATAAAATGTCCTTCTCTATGAACAATGTGTGTTTCACAATCTATTTTGTTTGTCATTAATTTAGCCATTCTAGCTCTCTTTGGATTACTATTTACATGGTATATGTTTTTCCATCCTTTTACTTTCTACCTAATTGTGTTTTGAATCAAATTGTGTCTCCTGTAGACGGCATAAAATTGGATCACGTTCTCCATCTTGCCAATCCATGCCTTTTTATTATAGATTTTAATCCATTTACATTATATAATGGTTGATAAGATACAATTTATGTCTGTCATTTTGCTGTTGATTTTCTAAGTGTCTTATCTTTTTTTTTAAGTGTCTTATCTTTTTTATCCCTCTCTTTCTCCATTGTTCCCTTCCTTTGTGTTAAATTGATATTTTCTAGTATACCATTTTAATTCCCTTGTCACTTCTTCTACTGCCATTTTCTGATTTCTTTTCTTAGTGGTTTGTCCTGGGAATTATAATTACCATCTTTGTAACAGTCAAATTCAGATTGATTCCAACTTAATTTTAATAGTACATAAAAACTGTTCCTGTAGGGGCGCCTGGGTGGCTCAGCCGTTAAGCATCTGCCTTTGGCTCAGGTCATGATCCCAGGGTCCTGGGATCGAGCCCTGCGTTGGGCTCCCTGCTCAGCGGAAAGCCTGCTTCTCCCTCTCCCACTCTCCCTGCTTGTGTTCCCTCTCTCGCTGTGTCTCTCTCTGTCAAATAAATAAATAAAAATCTTTAAAAATAATAATAATAATAAATAAAAAATAAAAACTGTTCCTGTATAGTTCCAACCTTTCCTTTTGTCTTGCTTTTTCATAAAAATTACGTTTATACATTGTGTGACCATCAATACAGATTTATAATTATTTCTTTGTGTAGTTGTCTTTTTTTTTAAGATTTTATTTATTTTTTGACAGAGAGAGACAGCAAGAGAGGGAACACAAGTAGGGGGAGTGGGAGAGGGAGAAGCAGACTCCCCACTGAACAGGGAGCCCAATGAGGGGCTCGATCCCAGGACCCTGGGATCATGACCTGAGCCGAAGGCAGACGCTTAATGACTGAGCCACCCAGGTAGCCTGTGTGTGTGTAGCTGTCTTTTAAGTCAGGTAGGAGAGACGAAGAGCCACAAAAAAGAATACATTGATACCGACTTTTATATTTACCTATATGGTGATCCTACCTGTGTTCTTGATTTCTTCGTGTAGATTTGAGTTACTATCTAGTGTTTTTATTTCAGCCTGAAGGACTCCCTTTGATATTCCTTGTAAGACAGGCCTGCCAACAACGAGTTCTCTATTTTTATTTGAAAATATCTAAATTTCTTCTTCATTTTTGGATAATTTTGTAAGGATTTAGAAATTCCTGGCAGACAGTTTTTTCTTTCAGCACTTTTAATATGTCATCCTATTGCCTTATGGCCTCTGTGGTTTCTGTTAAGAAATTAGCTGTTCATCTTTTTGAGGATCCCCTGTACATGATGAGTGACTTCTGTCTGCTTTCAAGTTTCTTCTTTTGTCTTTTAACAGTTTGAATATGATGTGCCTAGGTGTAGATCTCTTTGAGTTTTTTTCTGATTGGAGCTGTTGAGCTTCTAGGATGTGTGTTTCTTCTAGGGGTAATGTTTCTCATCAAATTTGAGAAGCTTTTGGCCATTATTTCTTCAAATATTCTTCTATCCTTTTCTCTCCTTGCCTTCTGGGACTCCTGTTATGCATGTGTTGGCACACTTGATGGTGTCCCACAGGTCTCTGAGGCTCTGTTCGTATTTACTCATTGCTTTTTCTTTCTGTTTCTCAAACTGGATAATCTCAATTGATTTTTCTTGTGTTTGCTGATCCTTTCTTCCACCTGCTCAAATCTGCTCTTAAGCCCCTCTGAATTTTTTTATTTCGGTTATTGTACTTTGAATTCCAGAATTTCTATATTTGGTTCTTTTCATTGATATGCTGTAGTTAGTGGGATATCATTCTTGTACTTCCCTTTCGTTCTTTAGATGTGGTGTCTTTTTGTTCTTTGAATATATTTAAATATATTTAAATCACTAAAGTCTTTGCTTAGTTAATATAATGTCTGAGCTTCCTCAGGGACAGTTTCTATTAACTACCCTTGTTCCTGTGTGTGAGCCAGACTTTGTCTTTTTGCATGTCTTACAATTTTTTGTTGAAAACTGGACATATTCAATAATGTGGCTGCTCTGGAAACCAGATGTTCCTTCCAGGGTTTGTTGTATTGCTGTTGTCTATTTAGTGACATTTCTGAACTAATTCGTTCAATGTGTGTAAAGTATAATCGAACGACTTCTTTAAAGTCTTTATTCTTGTTTTGATATGCCCACGAAAGTCTGCTTTGTTAGCTTAGTACTGGTCAACTAATGACTAGACGGAGACTTAAATACCTAAGGGCTCTGTGTACATGTTGGGGCATGCCTTTAGGACTCAGGCAGTTTACAACTACACATCAGCCTTTGCTTCCTGCTTACACCGAGGCTCAAGGTTAGCCAGAGGTGGGAGCTAAGGGCCTTCCCAAATCTTTCCTGGACTTGCCTATAGCTCACGGTGACCGTCCAGATTCTTAGGAATATGTCAAGCTTTTCAAATTCTCACTCACCATGTGGACATTTTGTTCTTCAGCTTTTTGTTTTCAGCTTTTTGGTTAGTCTATTGTTTGCCTCAGCTCTTATCCACTGCCTTAGGCAGCTGCCATGTTAAATAATTACCTCTGATTGTTTTCAACAAGCACTTCTGGAGAAAAAGCTGTTCACACTGGGTGAACTCCAAATCAGATTAAATAAAGATAGCCTTGCAAGTGGGGTCTTCCACTGAACCACCAGACAGGTCAAATAATGACAAATTTCCTGAGTATGGGGCTTTAGTATTATCTCTGGCCTCCCTCTAGTAGCTGCCAGGCTCTGTTTTTCAAAGCGATTGCTTCATAGTGATTGCTGTTTTCTAGGCTACTGTGGAGCTGGGGAAGGAAGCATAGGAATAAGGCAAATAAAAATGTCATGAAGCTTGCTGTTCTTTTGAGAATTCAGCTGTTTTTCTTGAATAGAATGTTCCCTGATTAATGAACCCTTTGGTGAGTTTCCAGAATTCTGAAGAAGTTTATTCTGATCACTTGGCCAGTGTTCTTATTGCTTTTATAGAGGAAAAGATTTGGGAAGTCCTTACTCTGGCATTTTCACTACCATCAGTTGGATGAAAAGAATTAAACACACAACTGAATATCAGAAATTGGAAAAGATTTTCTTATGACATACGTTAATTTCTTCCTAAGTATCATTGCTTCTTTTGCCCTCTTCACCTCAACGTCACCTCTTTCTAGCTAAGGGTAGCTTCTGTCATCAGTTTGGTCTGTGTTCTTTCAAGCTGTATTCTGTTAATTTCATTTCTAATGTATGCAGGCATCTGTGTATAATATGGTATAATATGTATTTTATGGGGGTTTTCTGAACATAATAGTCAACACTGAGTGTGTTTGATTTGCAGCTTGCTTTTTTTTCTTAACTATGTGTCTGGGAGATACTTCTACATAATTGGAAATCTGTGTTTAAGTGTATGGTGTGTCATGGTATGGAAATACCATAGGTTCCTTAACTGTTCCGTAATTGATGGACTTTTAGTTAGTTTGTAATAGTCAAGAGAACTAGAAGCAGTACTATAACTAATCTTTTTGTATATGCCTCCTTATTTTATGTATGAATATTTCTCTAAGATGGCTGTCCAGAAGTAGTGTATATACATTAAAATTTAAGAATATTTTTAAGTTGTCTTCTAAAAACTTAAACCTGTTTACATTTCCAGCAATGGTATGTGAGAGTAACTCTTTTACCACACCCTTACCAACACTAGAGATGATCAGTCTTACAAATTTTTTACAGCCTGGGCAAAATGATACCTTACTGATTTAAAAAAATTTACATTTAAATTGCATTTTGTAGGATAACACCATTGCAACCTCAGTAAGCAATAATTTTTCATCCTTTTCTCCTTTTTAGGGAATGGCATTTACATTACAAGAACGACAAATGCTTGGTCTTCAAGGACTTCTACCTCCCAAAATAGAGACACAAGATATTCAAGCTTTACGATTTCATAGAAATGTGAAAAAATTGAATGGCCCTTTGGAAAAGTAAGAGTTGATTAGATGTTTAGTTATTTATTGATTCTCTGATCAGAAAAATTGGGAGCATAATGGTTATTATTGTATAAGAAATATGCAGTCTTATAATAAAGTTTGTGTTTTAGGCAGTTAACTATTATAATGATTATGTTTCCTTTATTTCACTGAATACTTGCGTTCACTATTCTAAAATTTAGCAGAAATCTATTTTTTAAGCTTAAAATCACAGAGCATTTCTGCCTTGAATGGAATGTTAGAAGCAAAAGCTATCATCTGATTTGTACCCTTTCTGTTCAACAACTTTTATTAATCCTCTACTTTGTGTGTGCCACTGTACTAACCACTGAGGTTGTAAAGTAGGTAAAAGATAGGTGACCATTTAGTATATCATCCAATCCAGTAACACACAGCCCTGCCTTCTAGGAGCTCATCAGTAGTTATACTGTGATCATCATTGTACTCGATACTGCAATGTGCCAGGACAATGACAAAAAGGTACATGCAGAGGATGTTCTGAAAGTTCGGCCCCTAGCCAAACTTAGGGAGTCCGTTAAAGCTTCCTAGAGAAAGTGATGCCTGAGCTGAGTTTTAAACAGTATGTTACAGGTGGCAGGTAAAAGGAGAAAGAAGGGCAAGGTATTCTGTGTAGAGGGATCAGTCTGAATGCAGAATTAGAAATATCTTTTGGGTTTGTTAAGTACAGGAATTTATTGTTTGATGACAGGTGAGAGTGGTTTCTTTGATCTGTCGAGGCAAAAGGAAGAGAGCACAATAGACTGAGAAATGATTGAGAGGAAAGGAAATGCAGACTTTTTCAAGAAGGTAGGTAAGGGGATAGGAAAGACACTGAACAGTAAGTAAAGCAAGCCTTGGGTTTATAGTCCTGCTTGGGGACTATATTTTGTGGGGAGTGGTATTTTTCAGGCTAGAAGGAAGTTGAAGGAGCTTGCGCTGTGAGGAATGAGCCCAGAAGAAAGGGTAACTGATAGAACAAGATCCCAGAGAATGGAAAGGGACATAGGGTCAGCTGCAAAAGTAGAGCTCATAGGGTCAAATGCAAAGATAGCACTGGGTTGAGTACAGAGGTCCAGGGCATAGGGTTGAGTGCAGAGGTAGAGGCTGGCCTTGAACAAGAAAAAAGAACAGCTCATTCTCTGAGGCAAAATTGAAGATAATATACAGACACAGGTAAGGGTAAACTATGTGGGTGGTGGAGCAGAGCTTGTGAGATCTCATCCCACCTGATGACCTTGATTCTCTCTATGATACAGAATATGAAGCTTGTGGCTAAGATTTATAAGGACCAAGGTTAAATAGAATTGGTAAGGAGAGTGATAAATGTTTAGAACAGCCATTTAGCCAAAAGTGCAGCTGAACAAGGACAGATTAAAGGCATGGGTAGGCCCGGAAGGCCTAGTGGCATAAGCTTATTTGTATTGATGCCATTCTGCCCAGCAATGTTATTTTTCCGCAGAAAAGGTGAAATGTAACAGTAATTCAGGTTTGGGGTTTGCTGGGCTGGCAAAGATGCTACATTAATTCATTCAGCTAATATTCATTCAGGGCTCTTATGTGCCAGGCATTGTTTTAAGCTCTAGAACTACAAAAATGAGAAATTCAGCCCTTGCCTTCAGGGGGTTCATGGCTGGAAAAGACTGACGCTGTGGCAGGGTAGTGCAGTGTTAAAAGTGTGGGGGTGTTCCATAGTGGTGAAGATTTGTTGAGAGTGAGAGGCTTGATCATGGGATCCAGAGTGGGGAAAAAAGAGAGGCCAGAAGGGATCCTAATAGAACAGGAGGAAATGAAGCGATCCAGAAGCCAGAGATCTCCCTAAGAACTGTGAAGTGGGGCATTGTATAGCTAGCCAAAGGGGAGAGGGTTATGATCAGAGTACTGCATTAGTGGCATTCGAGATTTCTGAGCTGTAACAGTCCTAGATGAGGACAAGATCCAGTGGGAAGCATTCAGAAGAGTGACCAAAGTGAAATGAAGGTGAAAGTGAAGCTACTGGTATTATTTCTGCCTGCAGTAGCTACATAGGAAATATTATTCCTCTTATAAATAGAATCACTTCTCCCTACTTATTCACCAAATATTTGCCTACCACTTATATTCCATTAACTTTGCTAGTTACTGGAAATATAGATTTATATAAGGCAATAGTCCCTAGCTCATGGTATCATCCAGTCTGGAGGGAAGACAAAGTCAGGAAGTGGAGTGAGAATTGTAGTAGGAGAGTAGGGTGTTGAGGGACCTGAAAACAGGAAAATCTGTGTAGATATGTGTAGTGGGGGAGGGGAATGGTCAGAAAGGGAGAGTGTGCCACTTGTGTTTCATTCAGGGAGTGTAAGTATGGGACTGTGCATGGATAGAGAGTGTTCCAGGCAAGGGGTGCCTTGTATGTAGCAACACCAAGGTAAGAGATGTGGTGCATTTGAGAAACTGAAGTAATTTCAGTAGGAAGATGAGGCTAGAAAGTAGGCAGAGGTGTTGTTAACTATTTTAGAAGCATAAGCCTATTTAATGGGTGTTTGGAAGGCATTCAAGGAGAATAGAAATGGTCAGAGTTATTTTTTTAAGAGAAGAATAGATTGGAGCAGGGGAGCAAAGTTCTTAAGGTGGGGCGCCTAGGTGGCTCAGTCAATAAAGCGTCTACCTCTTGATTTCAGCTCAGTTTCTGATCTCAGGGTTGTGAGACTGAGCCCTGAGTTAGGCTCCATGCTGGCATGGAGCCTGCTGAAGATTCTCTCTCCTCTCTCTGCCCCCACCTCTAAAAAAAGAAAGAAAGTTCTTGAGGTAGCCCAAGTGAGAAATGATGTTGGCTTGGACAGAGTGAGGGTGGAGGGGAGTTATAGGTATATTGGAAAATTATTTAGCATGTGGACACTGTAGGTCTTGTTGATTTATTAGACTAGGGTAAGACAGAGTGGGAGAGGAAGAAATCAAGAATGGGATCTCAGATTCCCATTCGGTCAGATGATAATAGGAGGAGAGACAAGTTTGAGTAAAAAGTAATGAGTCTGCTTTACACATATTTAATTCAAGATGATCACTGGCTTTTTTCTTTTTCTTTCTTTCTTTTTTAATAGTAGAAGCATCTACAGCTTATTTTTTTAAGTTCATTTATTTTATTTTATTTTTCTATACCCAACATCAAACTCAACAACCCTGAGATCAAGAGTCACACACTCTTCTGACTGAGCCAGCCAGGCGCCCTGTCATTGGTTTTTTCAAGTCAACATTTCCCAGTTTTCTAAACTTTATTCTTGAAAAGCCATTATTTATATATGTATACAAATTTACCATTGCCTTTGTGTACCTCTTACTCTGTATAGACCTAATGCATTTAAGCTACTGGATTCTAACTCCACAAGGACAGGGGTCACTTCTTACATCCTGGGAGTCCAACATAGTGCCTGGCACATAGTATTTAGTAAATACTTGAATGAGTGCCACTTTATTCATTTTTGTTTTTTTATTATGTTAGTCACCATACATCATTAGTTTTTGATGTGGTGATCCACGATTCCTTGTTTTCGTATAACACCCAGTGCTCCATGCAGTACATGCCCTCCTTAATACCCATCCCCCCAAACCCCTCCCCTCTAGAACCCTCAGTTTGTTTCTCAGAGTCCATCGTCTCTCGTGGTTCATCTCCCCCTCCGATTCCCCCCCTTCATATTTCCCTTCCTTCTCCTAATGTCCTCTGTGCTATTCCTTAGGTTCCACAAATAAGTGAAACCATATGATAATTGACTTTCTCTGTTTGGCTTATTTCACTTAGCATCATCTCCTCCAGTCCCATCCATGTTGATGCAGAAGTTGGGCATTCATCCTTTCTGATTGAATGCCACTTTATTTTGCTTCCATATTTACATGTCAGTCACCTTAAAGGTTATTTCCTTGTGAGTAGGGTGGTCTCCTGGTAGTCTTTGCATTTCTAGTGCCTGGTACAGAGCCTGACTCACAGTAAGGGCTCAGTAAATGTTAGCTGTTGTTTCTGCTGTTCTCCTCCTCCTCCTCTTCTTTGTTATCGTCATCTACAATTTAAGACCATTTTTATTTTTGTTAATTTTTGTCCTTGGTGTTAAATAATGATAATTTAGGGTTTTGTTTTCTGGTAGGAAGGGGAGTCCTCAGTTTTAGATGTTTACATATAACTTCTAATTCTAAAGGCCAAAACTTTGAGTGTAAATGCTGACTGATGTCGACATTATTTACTATGCTTAATTTCAGATACATCTATATAATGGGAATACAAGAAAGAAATGAGAAGTTGTTTTATAGAATTCTGCAAGATGATATTGAAAGTCTGATGCCAATTGTATATACACCAACAGTGGGTCTTGCCTGTTCCCAATATGGACACATCTTTAGAAGACCTAAGTAAGGCTTATTTTTAAAGAAATATTTGTAAATGATTATTGTATAGGAAAAATAGCACTCCCTAATACCTCTTACATTTCTCCTTTATGTATTACAGTCTTATGTCAATCACATTTCCCACCTAACAAAAGCTTAAATTGGACAAAAAGGGGTTAATAAAAACCCAGCTTGTTCATATCTTGTTTTTGTAGAAATGGCAGCATTCATTCCTAATCTTCTGCAAGTTATTATGATTGGTGGAAAAACTGCATTTCTGTACAAAAATGGGGGGTACTATTAATTTTGGTGGCAGGTTCTCCAGAGTTATCATTAATGTCAGTTTGACAGTCTGCCCACATTAAAAGATTCTAATTTTTTTGTTGGCTTTAATTTCTGTTGTTTGTTCTTTTTTTTGAGCTTCTCCAGATTTTCATTCAAATAGTTCTAGCACCTCAAATATTTTAAATAGAAAGAGTATGGGAATGGGCATCTACTTAAGTCTTTCCATAAGTCACTTTCTCCCTCTGAATCTGTTTTCTCGTAAAATAAGGATGCTAGCACCTATTAAAGAGCAGCTGAGAAGGGCAGATGAGGAACTGATGGGACAATTCTTTGTAAACTTGTGATTAATTTGTGTTTTCTTGTTGCGGTCCTCTAACCTATTGGCATTTTCAACAGTCCTCACACCTTTCCATGTCCTGCTTACATATCGACACAAATGTAGACCTTCAGACAACGCATTATAGCATTGATCTTCACTATGCCCTCATCTAGCCCATTGCAAGATGGGTCACCAGTACAGACTTTAATGTGTGTACAAAACACCTATGGGACTTAAAATGTTGATCTGTGCCAACCTTCCTCTCCTTCCCATTCCCAAGATTCTAACGAAAAAGAGAAAGTTGTGGAGGTCTGGATTTTAATGAATACAGTTGGTGACGGTATCGCAGGTGTTCCGTGGAAGGAACTTTGAGAACACTGTTCTTTGTGCTGCCATCAGTTAATGTGTGTTAAACAGTTTGTTAAGTTAACCCAGCTGTTCAGCTCTTTTATAGTTCTTTTTCATTCAGAATAGTGGTTCTCAATCCAGATTAAAGGACAAGGAGAAACTTAAAAATATATTTATGCCTGGGCCCCACCTGTAGAGATTCTGATTCAGTCAGTCTGGAGTTGAGCCCCCATGTAGGTGTTTCATAAAAGTTCCTGGTATAGTTCTGATGTGTACCCAGCGCTCAGAACTGACATGAAGCATAAAGAACATGGCTTTGGGGTGAGGGCAGGTACTGTGTTTTTTGCATAGAAAATGGTCAGTAAATCTTGATCTAAAATCCAGGTGAGTTAAATCAGAATCTTTGGGGATGGGATCCCTGGCATTTTTGTAAAAAGCCCATCAGATGATTATATTCACCTATGGTTGAGAAACTGTTTAAACTGATTTGAGTTAGGATAGTAATGTCAAAGTTGAGATACCAATGAGAAAGTTAAGTTTAAGAACCAGTTTGAAGGCACTGGGGGCCTGTTGGCCTTCATCTCTACCTAACCTGTTTTCTATAACCTATGTTTCTCTCCCACCCCTTCTTCCTTCCTCTCTTCCTTTTTAAAATTCTGGATGATTTATCTCAGTTGGATAACAATATACAGTGTGTTTAAAATAACTTTTCACTTTTTCCTAATGCTTCAAGGACATTCTCTTTTGTGTGAAGTTACTATACTTCTTTCCCTTCCTGCTCCTTCAAATTTCAAATTTTCAGTTTTAGTGAGTTTTAATATTAGTTTATATAGCTTTATTATGCTGTCCTGCATTGGTGGTTTATTTTTATACTGCTTTCTACCGGAGGTGTATCGAGTTTCTTCCTGGGTAATACGATCATGTCATTTAATAATGATCTTTGTTGCAGCTACTGTGTGAGCAATGTAATTACAGTTTGGAATAGTTGAAAATATTTGAAAATAATCCAGTGTGATTTAGCCAAATCTGCTTTGAAATGATACTGTGTCTTGATGTTTTATTAAAATATCTAAATATTCCAGTTATGAACAAAAACTTAGGAGAAAACAAAAAACTGTTGTGAAATGCAAAGGTGTTTTTGTTCTGTTGCAGGGGATTATTTATTTCAATCTCAGACAGAGGTCATGTTAGATCAATTGTGGATAACTGGCCAGAAAATCATGTTAAGGTACTACTAATAGCACAACCTTCCTCTTCATAATCTTTTTTTTCCTTCTTTGTAAGTTACCTCTGAATTTCCAAGAATAGTTTTCATTGTTGCTCTGATTTATTTTGCACTTGCATACATGCAGATTTTGTGCTCTGAGAAGATCATGATAGTAATAATTGCAAGATGGGTCACCAGTACAGAGTTCGACTCTGGGAATGAAATGGGAGTTAGTTCACCAGGTGAACCTGTCACTGTTGATACCACTGGTGTTTCCTACCTTCTCTCTATTGCTTTTCTGTTTCTATTAATATTATTCTAGGTAGAGAAAATAAAATGCCATAAAAACTTTCATTTTGGTGGGTGGTGAGAGGATTTATGACACCTTTTTTCTTCTAAATCTCAGATAGATTTAGATCCTTAAGCAAATATAAAACTCTTAGAGTTTCAAATGTAATAAATATAAATCTGGTCCATCTGGCTGTCTTTCATAAAATAAAATCTAATGATTAAGATCTTTTGACAGGCTTTAGTGCTTGTTACAGGCAGTAATCTTACTTGCCTTTATAACATGTCTTCCTCACCAAAATAATCTTTGATGAATAATCATGAGTTCTAATAATCTAGAAAAAATTTAGCCAGATAATTAAACTCATAGTATCATCTTCAAACCTTGAAGATAGGGTTTTTTTTTTATTTTATATCTCTTTTCCCCACACTGTTGTTAAGGTGTTTCTTGTTTGGCCTAGGTTATTATGTGGGAGCAGCATATTGTTCATTTCTAACCTTGTTTTTTTCTTCTGGTTAATCTCTATCAGAAGTTTGCCTGCCTCTCCCCAGTTTAGTTTTTGTGAAGATATATAAGCTGATCCTCCAGTCAGAAACATTCTGTTTCTAAATCAAAGACAAAGGGAAATCAGATCTAGTTCATCTTTATTTTACACCTAGATTCTAGAAATCCTAGAATTTTAAATATGCTTGGTTGGTTTACTTTGGTAGTTAGTCAAGAAACAATATTATTTTTAAAAATGAGAGTGAAAATAATCTTTTTTCAAATGCTTTTTAGTACCCCACTTTTGACAACTTTTAATTTATATATATATTTTTGTAATTAAGGCTGTTGTGGTGACTGATGGAGAGAGAATTCTGGGTCTTGGAGATCTGGGTGTCTATGGAATGGGAATCCCAGTAGGAAAACTTTGTTTGTATACAGCCTGTGCAGGAATACGGCCTGATAGATGCCTGCCTGTGTGTATTGATGTAGGAACCGATAATCCAGTGAGTAAAACTATTTTCCGCCTTGGATCTTCCTCCCATATTTAAAAAACGAAAGCTTTACTACATTCTTCTTTTGAAGATAATATAAGATGGGAAAATTTTGTGATTAAAGTTAGCCTTTGTCTTAAACTGTGCTTTTTATATTTATACACATAATAGTAAATTAAGTCTCTTAAAAGTTTCTTGAAGAAATGTAGTAAGGTTTTAAAAATTACATTAGTAATTTTTTTATTTTGCAATTTTTGTTTTATAGAACATGTTTAAGCTGCTTAGGTAACAAAATGATTTTATTTTTACATTTGGTCTATTTTATAGGCACTCTTAAAAGATCCGTTTTACATGGGCTTATATCAGAAAAGAGATCGATCACAACGTTATGATGACCTGATTGATGAGTTTATGAAAGCCATTACTGACAGGTATTTTTTTTTTTAAGTTTGAGTAAATGAAAGAGTCTTTAATAAAAGAAAGGAACCAGAGTTTTGTTTTTCTTTATCTCTTTTGAAGGTGCATAGAAGGAGATTAAATTTTTGAGAGCTTGGGTTCTGTCCTGCCTGCTTAGATGTACTGAGACTGGTGACACCCTTTGTATTCTGCCTTGCTCTCCTGAGTTGTCTGACCTCATGTGGCAAGTGTGCATTCCCTGCTCCTGCCAGACCCTCACTATTCAGTTCTAACATGCAGAATCCTCCATCTAGACATTCTGTTGCTCCTTCATATTTGTGTCCAAAACAACTCCTTCCCTTAGCAAACTGCCCATCTTCTGTTTAGCCAACCTCTCTATTAATGGCAGCAACATTCACACTCTGGCCAAAACTTTGCTCTTGATATTATCTTTGACTCTTCCTCCTTCTCTGTCAACCTCCTCCAGAGTCCATCAGTCTTCAGACCCAGATGGTCCTACCACTTAAATGCCTTAGAGATACATCTCTTTTCCATTGCCACAGCCTTTCTGCAGATCCTCTTTCTCCGGGTTGCTTCTAAACCTGCCTCTAATTTCTCTCCTCTCCATTTCATCTTCACCTTACCTCTATGTTAATCTTTTTAAAATGTGCACTTCATCATGTCATTCTATTGCTTGAAATCTCTCAGTGGTTCCCTGTTGTCATAGGGTCAAGTCCAAGCTCTTTATGATCCAGCTCAGCCCTACCTTTTACATTGCTCGTACATAGAACATACTAAGAAAATTAATGCCTTTTCAGAGTTAAAGCTGACATATCTAAAACTAAACTTTCATCTTCCCAGAAATTGCCATCTCCTCCCTTCCCTCACTTCCCTACCTTGGACAATCAAATAGTATCTTCTTAGTCATCCAGATTGCCCTGGCACTTGAACAGCTTTTCCCTTAATATCTCAGGTGGTCCTCATCAAGTTCTGTTTGTTCATTCTAATGTCTCATAATTGTCCCTTTAACTTCCCATGGTTTCTCCTTCAGATTTTCTTGTTCCCATACCATAGGAGCCTTCTAGCTGCTTCTGCACACACCAGACTATGCTGCATTATCACTGGCAGGTCTGTCCTTCCTAAAGAGAGTCTTTCCTTTCCTGAAGCCCTTCAGTGATTCTATATCAGATACAGAATAAAATCCCTATTCCCTAATTTTGCATTCAAGAGTCTACCATCTGGCCCCAACCTACCTTAACTAACTTCTCCTTATCCTTTCATATAAACCCTGAAATATATAGCCTGACAGCTGAAAATTCAGGGTCACCAAAATACACCTTGTTTTCTTCCTGCCTCTTTACTTTTTGTTCTTTGAGGGCCCAAATAAAGTCTTACCTCCTTTTCAAGCCTTCCCTTACCCCAGCTCATCAAAATGCCAGTGAACTCCTACGGAAATTATTTTTTAACCTCTTATTTAATATATACTTTCCTGTGTTGCTGTTTAACTCCTAATATAATAAGAATACACATATCAAATATATACTTTATGAGACTCAGATAAAAATCTCTTCTTAGGAAGTTATTTCATGCTTATATGTGCTGGGCAACCTTGTAGGCACTTGGAAATCGCTTATACCAATTAATATCCCATAGATTCACCCCATAAATTTTTCTGAATAAGTAGTAGATTTCTGCATTTCGACTCCAGTTTTCACAGGCTCTGAAAATTGCCAGGTGGCCTTAAATGGACTAACATGATACATTATTTTTAAATGGGATCATAAGGAATATTAGACAGGAAAGCTGTTTAATAATGGTATTTTCAACACAGCCATTATGGATTTTGCTGTTTTTAGATATGGACAGAACACACTTATTCAGTTTGAAGACTTTGGAAATCATAATGCATTCAGGTTCTTGAGAAAATATCGAGAAAAGTATTGTACCTTCAATGATGATATTCAAGGTAAAGCAAAAAGAAAAGCTTAGGTTTTTTATCTCTCCTTCTTTAAATGTTTTTAATCTGCCCCTTTTTTATTTAAAAAAAATCTTTATTTTGGGGGGCACCTGGGTGGCTCAGTCGGTTGAGCGTCCAACTCTTGATTTCAGCTCAGGTCGTAATCTTGGGGTCATTGGGCTCTGCACTCAGTGGAGAGTCTGCTTGAGATTCTTTCCTTCTGCCCTCCCCCTGCTCCCCATTCATGAGCTCTCTCTCTCTCCCCAAAATAAAAAAATCATTTTAAAAAAATCATTATTTTTCTTACAGGAACAGCTGCAGTAGCTCTAGCAGGTCTTCTTGCAGCACAAAAAGTTATTGGTAAATCATTCTCAGAACACAAAATCTTATTCCTTGGAGCAGGAGAGGTAAGTTTTTGTAAGCTTTTAGAATTTAAAACTAAAACTCTCCTTTAGAATTGGAAAAATGCAACATAATGAGCTTCTAATTTTGTTGGGATCTTGTATGAAGTGAAAATCTCTGTTGTAAAGTAGGTAATTTAAAATATGTTTAAAGATAATACTATGTTTAGAGAGAATATCACAAAGAATCAACTTTTGCATGATTTGTTAGGGAATAAACCAAATGTTCTTCATAACGTATAATCCTCATATATAAAATAATTCAAGCATTGTATTATACCCTGCTCTTTATTTTTTAAATTTATGTTTTGTTGGACAGGCTGCTCTTGGAATTGCAAATCTCATAGTTATGGCTATGGTAGAAAATGGCGTCTCAGAAGAAGAGGCACAAAAGAAAATTTGGATGGTTGACAAGTTTGGTTTATTATTTAAGGTAAGCTATTTAAATCTTGGAGAAGCAAAAGAATGTTGTTACAATGATACTTTTAGTTTGACTTTTTAAAAATATTATCAATTCTTAAAATATTGTATCATACTGAACTATCTAGATTATATCAGTTGGAGACCTTCCAGTATATTCTCAACAGAAATCCTCCAGTCTCCTTTTTGTCTTTTATAGACCCTTGCTTCATATTCAAGTCATAATCTCCATGTTGGCACCAGTCATATTCTTTCTTGCTTTGTTCTCTGACTCTTAAGACATCAAGTAACCATATAAATAAGATTGTATTTGACCTTTCTAAAACTAGGTTTTTAATTGGAACTCAGAAGTTTCTAATTAAATCGTTAGCAGGACATCCAACATTTGAGCAGAAATTCCTTAACCATTTAGAGATCTTAATCCCTTGTAACAGTGTGAGAGAAATCCACGGACCTTTTCCTGAAGCCTGCTCATGGATAAGAAAGAGCTTCCAGCCCAGATTAATTTAGTGTCCTTTGCACCTGCCTGCCTTCCTAGCATTGATTGCCATTTTTAGTAGCTTAATAAATGCATTTTATCTTATACTGTGTAACACGTTAGGTAAACCATTTCATAGTTAAACCATTTCATAGTTGAATCCAGTACACAATGCTGAAGTCTTTTTGCTGTATATAATGACATACAGCTGTTACTTGAAATATACCTCTTTGGAGCAAGCTTATTTCAATGTACTTTGTTTCAGTTCTGAAATCTTTTCTTCTTAACTAGTACTCACAACTGTTGGTACAGAAAATAAAATGAAAAAGTGTGTGCATGAAAAGTCTTGAGTGCTTAAATTGTACATAATTTAAAATTATAGTTTAAAATGTGCCAGACCATTGTGATAAGACTCTACAGGTATCTCATTTAATCTTCTCAAAAATTCTGTGAAGTTTTACAAATAAGGAAACTGAGGATCTAAAAGGGCAGGTGACTTTTCCAAGGTCATATCCAAACCGAGTGTGAAGCCTGTGCTTTTGGCCATTCAGCTGGGCTGCCTTCCAAGTGAGCTATAACCACTGTATTTGCTTGTATATAAGATACAAAGATTATAAACTTTGTACTTTTAGAAGGCTATTGGCAGAATACATATTGTTCCTGGTACACAGTTTGGTGCTTCTTTTTGTGGTGTTGGTTTTCACAAATTTTTTTTTGTTTCTTTTTTATATTTGTAACAAGTCAAGTCTAGAATGAGTGTGCTGTTGGCTAGCACAAATGAGAATCCCTGTATATCTGCAAGTTCAGGGTATTTTCTTCTTTTAGGGTGTGTGAATAGCTTGACCTATGGGTTTTAGGTGTCTAGACTCTCCTGCTGACCCAAACACTGCCCTCCTTTTTGAGACTTTTAGAGTTTCCTGTTGAACCTGCATATTGGAGAGCTGTGATCCTCCTGGGGGCAAGCATAAAAAGCCCCTGTCCTGAGAACCTGGATCTGTTGTGGCTATATGTCAGTCCTTTAATTAACTTCCCATCCAGCTGATGATAGTGTGCTGCTTTTCCCAGACCCCGCTAGTTCTTAACTGGGGTTATCCTGGAGTTCTGAGGGAAAAATTCACCTCTGCTGTGGGGTCTCCTGTTTTGCCAAAATAAGGATATGGATTTCTCAGCCTGCTTGGTTTTTGCATTTGATATATTTTTGACCACTTTAAATTGTTGAGAAATTCTTCACTGTTCTAGTTTGTCAGTGGTATGTCTCCTGGCCTTGAAACACTAATAAAGATTTAATTTCATAGTTTTTGGCTTAGGATTTCGGGAGGAAAGCACATTTCTTCGTTCAGCCATCTTGAACCAGAATTCCCTGTTCCTCTTGTTTCAAAACTCTTGCTAGTACAAGTCCATGATGTCTGTCTTCAATTCTGAAATTCCAAAAGCTCTGAAATCCCAAAGTTTTTTTGAAATTGGTAACAGATCTGATTGACTTGAACTTATCTGGTAGCAAAACCAGAGAGGGTATTTGTAGTCTCGACCTTTTGTACTTAGTGTACTAAATTTTGTTCAGTTTGGCGTGCCATGGTGGGGGGATTTATAATATTTGATATATTACTATAATACATTTATAAAATATGAAAGTATTTTACATCTAGCCCAGATAAGGGATTCTAAGCCTTTGTGCCATATTGGATTTAGAAGACCTTCACAAAGCAAATGAGTTTTTGACAGGGACTAGGAAGTTTCTGCTTATGACGGGATTTATGTTTTATATCTGAGTTTTGTGGACACAGCAAGATAGAATTGGAAGATAGAGGCTGAAGAGGAAAGTAAATGAGAATGAAAAGATATTCCTAGTGTAGAAACAGTATGTGACTCATAATGATGTCTTTTCAATTAATCCTCAGTAAGCACTTGCTAAAAAATACTGTATTTTTCCCAAAAATTCAGGGGCGGAAAGCTAAAATAGAGAGTCATCAGGAACCATTTGCTCACTCAGCCCCGGGGAATATACCTGATACTTTTGAAGATGCAGTAAATATACTCAGGCCTTCAGCTATAATTGGTAAGTAGAGTTGTTGACAAGTCATTGTATCACTTACCTGTATGTTGCTGGTCATAACTACCGTGCAGGAGTACTAAAAATGAAATGACCTATTTTATCTAGCTTTCAGCATACAGTGTGTTTTTCTGTGATAGCATTTTGGTCATAGTGTGTAAAGTTCAATTAACAGATGTTGCCTGTACTGTTAAGTGCGGGAAGGTGTGCAGTTGATCATGCTTTGCTTTTAGAGTTGCTGTGACTACTGTGCTCAAAACCTGAAAAAGACCAAGGTCATAGGACATACTGAACCAAGAAAGTCCTATGCAGGGTCAAAGCTTTGCATTGGCAACAAAGCAGAAAGCTTTGGTATGTTTTGAGAGTCAGACATTGCATAGCTGACTTCAGAATATGCCAAAATGGCATTGGGTTCACCCCAGAAAATGTAAAAGTCTTTATTTTTTTTAAAGATTTTATTTATTTATTTTACAGACAGAGAGGGCATGCGAGTGCGGGGGTGGGGGTAAGGGAGGTAGGAGGGGTGGGAAGAAGAGAGGGACAAGCTGACTCCGCGCTGAGTGCGGAGCCTGACACAGGGCTCAGTCTCAGGACCCTGAGATCATGACCTGAGCTGAAACCAAGAGTCGGATGCTTAACCAATTGAGCCACCCAGGTGCCCCAGAAAATGTAAAAGTCTTTAAAAGAGGAGCTATTTCATTTTCTATATACCTGTAAGATTTGAATCCATAAGTTTTTAATAATTTTATCACTTTCTTGTAGAAGCCCTATTGAATGCTAAATAGTAAAACCGTCACAAACAGTAAGTTTTTATGGTCATTAGCTTCTTCATTGATTAGAACTCTTAATTTCTTAGAGTAGTAAGAGGACATCTTGAAGATCACCCAGTCAATTTCTCTCAAAACTCAGTATGAAAACCTAGGAATCTCATTGATTCTATCTCTGGAGGGTCAAGGAAACAAAAATTAAAAATGTCTAATTCTTTTAGAACTCCTAGACTCCTAAAAATATGTCCACACACTTCTACATGGAGAAACACTGAATATAAATTCCTTTTTTACATAAGAAAAACAAGCACAGAGATGTTAAACAGCTTGCCCAAGATTTGTGAATATTTCATACAGCCAGGAGTGACAGAGCAAGCACTAAAACTCTAGCCTCTAGATCAGTATTTTTATTACATATCAGTTTATAAAGTAGAATTGAAAATTAATTATTTTGACTGTTGAATATAAGTCTTCTTACTAGATGAACTGGAAAAGTACTCAAATGAGGTATTGCTTGGCTATCCCCAGATTCCCATCATGGGCTAAGTACTCTTCATGCTTCTGTAACACTGCATACTTGGCACCTGTTACAGGTTTTCTCATTTTCTGCTTTGTTTTTCTCTCAACTATAAGCTGCATTGTATTCATGTTTATATTCCAATGGCCTAATGCAGTGTCTGAGGCATTGTAGGGGCTTAAGAAAAGGTCATTAAATTGCATCAAGAAAGTAGATTGCTTTAGTCAAGATTTTTTTATCCCTTCTGAATTCCTATTATTTTGTAATGAACACTAGAGTTTAACAATTTAACATTTGAGATGCAAGTTTTTATCTTTTTAAAATTCATTTTTAATTGTGGTAAAATGTACATAAAATTTGCCTCATAACTATTTTTTTAAAATTTAAATTCAATTAGCCAGCATATAGTACATCATTAGTTTCAAATGTAGAGTTCAGTAATTCATCAGTTGCATATATCATAACCCTTTTTAAGTGTACAATTGGGTAGGGTTAAGCGCATTCACATTGTTGTGCAGCTGGTCTCCAAAACTCATTTTGCGAAACTGAAACTCCGTACCCATTAAACAAATACTTTCCCCTAGCCCCTCACTATCACTCTTCTACTTTTTGTGTTTATGAATTTAACTACTCTGGGTATCTCATATAAATGGAATCATATAGTATTTGTCCTTTTGTGACAGGCTTATTTTACTTAGCATAATGTCCTCAGGGTTCATTCATGTTGTAGCAAGTTTTATCTTAATTAGACAGTGATGGAGATAGTCATACTCTTTTTTTTATTTCCTACAATTTACTATGTTTGGGGTAAACAATAAATATTTTGGTGAAAATTTTTAGCATTTTATTGTTTTTTTCAGATTTGAGATTGTGTTCCCATGGCATTTTCTCAGCAATACAAAATCTGTGCTTTTGTTGTGTTAAACCTATTGTAGAAATGCTGTTGATAAGAATTGTTTTATGGTACATGTAAAGAAGTTGCTTTTCTCCCCCCTTATTATTATAGGAGTTGCAGGAGCTGGCCGACTTTTCACTCCTAGTGTAATCAAAGCCATGGCTGATATCAATGAAAGGCCTGTAATATTTGCATTAAGCAATCCTACAGCAATGGCTGAATGCACGGCAGAGGAAGCATATACACTTACAGAGGTACTAATAATAATTATATGAATTGGTTGTGTCTATTGTTTTCCTTCTGTTAGCCTTAGTTATACATTCTCGCATAATTCTTTTCATGGTTACCTGTAGAGATTACAGTATGCACCCATGGATCATCAAGTTCTGATATAAACTATTGCATGTATGGATTCTGGAAAATAATTACTTTATATCTCCATGTTAACACCTTCATGTCTTGTGTGCTATTGTTGTGCATTTTTTTAAAGATTTTATTTATTTATTTGACAGAGAGAGACACAGTGAGAGCAGGAACACAAGCAGGGGGAGTGGGAGAGGGAGAAGCAGGCTGATGTGGGGCTCGATCCCGGGACTCTGGGATCATGACCTGAGCCGAAGGCAGACACTTAACGACTGAGCCACCCAGGCGCCCCATGACTTCTGTTTTCCTTTTGATACATCATTTTGTCTTGGGTTTTGCTACGATGGGCATAGTTGTGTTTGTATTTATTCCATCTGGGACTGTAGAGCTCTGTATCTTGATGCCCTCTTTTGTGGTCTGTGTTTGGAAATACCTGAGTTGGCTGCGTTCTCTGTCTTCCTCTTGTGGGTCTCCAGTTGTAGAGTGTCAGACGAGTTCACATATCTCATGCATCTCTTACACTACTTTCTGCATATTCCATCCTATTGGCATACTGTGTGTTTTTTTTTTTAAGATTTTTATTTATTTATTTGAGAGAGAGCAGGGGGAGGAGCAGAGGGAGAGGGACAAGCAGACTCCATGCTGAGCACAGAGCCTGACGCAGGGCTTGATTCCACAACTCTGAGATCATGACCTGAGCCGAAATCAAGAGTTGGACACTTAACCGACTGAACCGTCCTGGTGCCCCTGCATACCGGATTTTAATCTGGTGATTTTCTTTGGGTTTATCTTCCAGTTGCATATACTCTTTACCTATGCTAATCTATTGCTAGGTTCTTAATTTTATTATACTTTTCATTTGTAGAATTTTGATTTGACTATTTTTCTAATTAGTGACACAGACTTAAATGGCATATTATAGAAATAATCGATTCTGCTTCCTTGCCCTCATATTTAATAAAACAATTCTTTTTACTCTTCAAACATATCTTCACCATCGGTGTTTGTCTTTAGGAAGATCATTGTTTTCAGTCATCTGACAGCTATCAGGAACAAGTTTTTACTTTCATCCAAATCATTTAAGATTTCGTTCTTTTGAGGCGCCTGGGTGGCTCAGTCGTTAAACATCTGCCTTCGGCTCAGGTCATGATCCCAGGGTCCTGGGATCGAGCCCCGCATCGGGCTCCCTGCTCCACGGGAAGCCTGCTTCTCCCTCCCACTCCCCCTGCTTGTGTTCCTGCTCTCACTGTCTCTCTCTGTCAAATAAATAAATCTTTTAAAAAAACAAACATTTATTTCTTTTGAATTCTTTGACACTGCCACAGGGTTATATACCAATTACAAGTATCTGCTCATATACCATTAGGACAGGTGGGTTTTTTTCCTACTGTTCTGTAGGGATATATTTTTAATCTCCACAATGTAACCACATTCTGTATTGTTCTTGTAAGTGATCTTTAAGTGGCCCCAGGAAGCAATATTTAAAGGCTCATTTACAGTGATACCCAGCAGGAATAATTATTAGGTCATGTACTTCAGAATAGGTAACAAATCTATGATAAATGTTTTTGTCTCCACTGTATTAAAAACGTCTTTTATTATGGAAAATTCTGAACATATACAGAGGTAGAAGAGTCTAATCAACTCCCATATGCCAGTACCAGGTGTACTAATTATCAGCTCATCAATCTTGTTCCTTCTACATCCTACCCATCCTGGGTTATTTTGAAACAGATCTCAAGACATCATATCGTTTCATTATAAATATTATAGTGTATCTCTAAAAAGTTAAGAGTTCTTTTAAAGATATAATCACAGTATCATTATCACACCTCACAATTTTTAGCAGTGTTTTTAGAATACTTATTTCATCTTTCTGCCTAGCTTATAGTTCTCTGCTAAAATATTCTATCTTGTTATATAATTTCTGAAATATATGAATCATGATTAAAGTTAATGTCTGGGGCGCCTGGGTGGCTCAGTTGATTAAGCGACTGCCTTCAGCTCAGGTCATGATCCTGGAGTCCCGGGATCGAGTCCCACATCGGGCTCCCTGCTCGGCGGGGGTCTGCTTCTCCCTCTGACCCTCTTCCTTCTCACGCTCTCTGTCTCTCATTCTCGCTCTCTCAAATAAATAAATAAAATCTTTAAAAAAGAAATAAAGTTAATGACTGATAGCAAGAAATACCTTACTCTCTGGGAATCCATTTCTATTATCTATCTGTCTTTCTTTTTCTTGGTTATGCCATTTTGTATTTTTGTAAGCCTAGTTTTATTTTTGTTTTTTGTTTCCTTGTCGAATGCTAGATGGTATGGGTGAAAAATTGTAGCAGTATTTTGAGGCTCTGGATGAAGCGTTCTTCCCTTTTCCTCTGGTGGGTATTGGTCTGGAGCAGCTCACCATAATCTAATCAGGATGCAGTCCATGGGGTGCCTGCTCTTTTTCCACAGTTTACCCTTTCTCCCAGTGTGTACCCCTTTCGGCATAAATCAGAAGTCCTGGGGTATTTATTAGCACCCATCATCCCCAGCAGCCCCTGAACTTTACTTTTCTCTCTGTGTCATTGTAAGGCTCCTGAAAGCTTTATTGCTCAGGCTCTCAGGCACAGATACTGCTTTTGAAGTCCGCAATCACCTTCAGGGGGAAAGCTTCAAGTGCTGGGCTCACATACCTTGTTTTCCTATTCTTCTGCATCGCCCACACCCAAGCTCTCACTATCTTGATAGCCCTGCTGCTTTCTTAACAGATATTTTTAATATATTTTTTCCAGTTTCTCTCATTGTTATCAGAGGGAGAATTGGTGTGAAACAGCCTAGATGAGTGCCAAAGCAGAACCTTCTCAGAACTTTCCAGACTGAGTATTCATGCTCCTTATGTCTTTAGCATTCTTTTTTCTCACTGCCAAAAAATTTATTTTGATAACGTACATGCCTTCTAAATGCCTTTCACTTCATATTGCCCCTCAGTTTAGTCAAAATAAATTCTCCCGACTATTGGTTTCCAACAGTTATAGTAATCACTGAAACTTCTAATAGTTATTGAAATATTTTTCTTTGAAATCATCCACAAAATCAGCATCCAGATAGCAAAAAAGTAAATAAATAAAAATCAGTCTCTTCAGTATACTGTCTTATCTTTTTACAAAGTAGGGTATCCTGTTTACCAGTCTTTACTACTTAAAACTAGTGGTTATTGTGTCTCCAAATTAAATCTTAGTCTTATACAATGACTGATAAATATACTCAACGTATCAGTGGGTTTTGGCATTTTAGAAATATAAAAAATGTAAATGTTTTGGGCAGTAGTAGTATATCACTAGAAGACTGCCCAAACATTTAAGAATTTTTTTTTAATAAATACTATTATAAGAGCTGTGCATTATTGGAATGAATAAAAATCCTCCAAGGAGACTAGTTTGATATGTTGTATTCCATCAATTCTAATATGCAAATTTTTTCTCAATATTGTATTACCTCCTAAAAATGATAAAAAATCATTGTGTCATAGCTTAATTTTACATAAATTCCTTCTTAGTGTTATATAAGATAATGGCATAAATCATGTATTTGCAGTCACCTCTTAAATTTTTAGTGCCCTTTTGTTTTCAGTAGAGAGAAGTCTTGGTGTTACTCTAACATCCTCTGCTTCTTAGTGAGAAAAATATATATTTTTTTAAATTCTTGAACTTCAGCATGAGAACACTTGGTTATAATTGAGATCCAGCCACATTTAAACTATAGGTTGACTATGAAAGAAAAAAAATTAAAAAAAATAGCCTGGAGAAGATGAGCTGCTGTAGAATCTTGCCATTCTAGAGAAGATACCCAAGGTCTTTCTAAATCTCCAAATTTACTGATATCATGAGAATGTAACATTTTTCCTATAAAGAGCTTATATTGTATAAGCCATTTTATAAAGCTATTAAAATTAGTGGTATCACAAAAATAATCTTTTTATAAGCTTTATCATTGTAATGATATATGGCATTAACCATGAACTGACTCTAATCTTCAAAGAAACACGATTTCATCACAAGTGGAACTATGCTTAGAACAGGTAGAGAATGATCAGAGCTCTCTGTAGAAAATGATACAGCCACCTGACACTGTAGCTTCAGGAGAGTCACCTGGATCCAGCGCTAGCATAGGTAGGTAGCTTCTACACTTTGTGTCATTTTGAAACTGAAAGTATGTCTTGTAAAAGTAGTAATGTACATTGTAGACCTTCAGATGGTCCAAAGGGTCACATTGTTGAGTGTTAAATCCACTAATGCCAAGGATCCACTATACTTCAAAGAATAATCAGCCTTGGTATAATACACATTTTTAGATCTAGAGAAAAGAGGACAAAGCATTGTCTAAACAATTATTATTCTGTCCAGTGTTCAGGTGCTATGTCAGTTTGTCCATCCTACTGTGTGGAGATAGTTCAGTTTTCTGTAAACCATCTCTTACTTAATCCAGGTACCTGTTTAAACATGACTTACTTTTGGGGCGCCTGGGTGGCTCGGTCGGTTAAGCTTGACTTCAGCTTGGGTCATGATCTCAGGGTTGTGGGATTGGGCCCAGTGTCGGGCTCTGTGCTTAGTGTGAAGTCTGCTTGAGACTGGCTTTCCCTCTCCCTTTGCCCCTCCCCCGCTTGCTCTCTCTCTCTCTCTCCCTCTAAAATACATAAATAAATCTTTTAAAAAAATAAATAAAGGGCGCCTGGGTGGCTCAGTTGGTTAAGCGACTGCCTTCAGCTCAGGTCATGATCCTGGAGTCCCAGGATCAAGTCCCACATTGGGCTCTCTGCTTGGCGGGGCTTCTCCCTCTGACCCTCTTCCCTCTCGTGCTCTCTATCTCTCATTCTCTCTCTCTCAAATAAATAAATAAAATCTTTAAAAATAAATAAATAAATAAGTAAATATTAAAAAATAAAAGAAACATAAGTAACTTTAGTCATACCTCAAGTATTCCAAGATAGATTATCCTATTTGAGAACTACTGTTTTCTTGCTCTTTGCGTTTTTTTGCCAAGGAGGAGTAGAACAGATGGGATTTGTGGCGGGGAAATGATATTCAGAGGATTTATAGGGGCACCTGGGTGGCTCAGTTGGTTAAGCATCTGCCTTCAGCTCAGGTCATGATCCCAGGGTCCTGGGATTGAGCCCTAGGTCCCTGCTCAGCGGTGAGCCTGCTTCTCCCTCTCCCTCTGCTGCTCCCCTGGCTTATGTATTCTCTTGCTCTCTCTCTCTCAAATAAATAAAATCTTTAAAAAAAAAATAAAGGATTTATAAATTTACTTTCAGGTCCTCTTCAATTTCACAGGTATCTAATTCTCTTAGAAATATTGAATATGGGAGTTGCTTAAGCGTCTGCCTTTGGCTCAGGTCATGATCTCAAGGTCTTGGGATCAAGCCCTGCATGGGGCTCCCTTTTCAGCAGGGAGTCTGCTTCTTCTGCTGATCCTCCCCGGCTCTTGTGTGCTCGCTTGTTTTCTCTCTCTCAAATAAATAAATAAAATCTTTTTAAAAAAATATATCTAATATGCTAGTAACATTATATGCCATTGTTGAGCACAGTACTAACATTGATACAATAAATTTGGAGACTTACTTTTCTTCAACAAGGCAACATGCTGTATTTTTCTGGGGTAATAGTGTGGTTATACCATACATCTATTGTGTAAACTGCCCTACGGGGGTGCATTATTAGCATGATAGAAAGACCATGGGCTTTGGAATTATAAAAAAAATTCTGGATTCAAGTTTAACCTCTACAATTGTAATGTGTGACTTTTTACAGAGTACTTGGAAATCTAAACTGTAGTTTTCTGAGATTTTTTTTTTATATCAGTGAGATGGAGATGATGATAATCTCATAAGACTTTTTATGCAGGCTAAACTGAACACATACCAAGCACCTGGTGTACAGAGACAAAAATAGTAGATGTATAGTCAGTGATCACGGTTTAATTTTTGATGTGTTCCCCTTCATTCACAGATGTTTACAGCAATCTTTATTATTCGGGATGCTTTTGTTGGCCCATCTACATTTTAAGCTTTTTAAGGGAATTAGAAGCATGAGGTTTTTTAGTTTATTAATGGACAGTTTTCAATTTTATTTGTGTGCTATGCATAAAAGCTCATTCTGATAAGAATTTTAATGAAAGGATTATGTTATATTGTAAATTATGCCTGTTTGCAAGTAATATATTGGTCTTTTTTAGTACAGGATTTAATTTTGTTTTGATTCACCTCAATGTTAGTCCACATTAGGTTACAAATTGAGGGGCGCCTGGGTGGCTCAGTCAGTTGGGCGTCTGCCTTCAGCTCAGGTCATGATCTCAGGGTCCTGGGATGGAGCCCTGCATCGGGCTCCCTGCTCCACGGGAGGCCTGCTTCTCCCTCTCCCACTCCCCCTGCTTGTGTTCCCTCTCTCGCTGTGTCTCTCTCTGTCAAATAAATAAGTAAAATCTTTTAAAAAAAAAAAAGGTTACAAATTGAGGTTATTTCATTTCTTATCAGGGAAGATGTTTGTTTGCCAGTGGCAGTCCATTTGAGCCAGTGAAACTCAGTGACGGGCAACTCTTTACACCAGGCCAAGGAAACAATGTGTATATTTTTCCAGGTAAGTGCCACCATTATTTATGTTAAAGAGTATTCGTTAATTACTTTAAAATACTTAACGAAATTACATAGAATTTAAGATTAAAATGAACAATAGTATTTATAGAATTTTGATACGAATGTCTAGGGAAACTCAAGGAATTCAGCAAATCCAACTTGCTTTATTTTCCCTATAAATGTGTTTATTCATCTTTTTCATTAAACTTGTTTTTATTATAGAAATAATGTAGTATATGGTATATAAAAGTATAAAAGGAACAGAATGTTATAAAATTATTTAATTCTCTTTATCTCCACCTTCAGTACCTCCTTTTCTTTAAAGTTTTTATTTAAATTCCAGTTAGTGGGGCACCTGGGTGGCTCAGTCGTTGAGCATCTGCCTTCAGCTCAGGTCATGATCCCAGGGTCCTGGGATCGAGCCCCGCATCGGGCTCCCTGCTCCGCCTCCCTCTCCCAGTCCCCCACTTGTGTTCCCTCTCCAGCTGTCTCTCTCTCTCTGTCAAATAAATAAATAAAATTAAAACATCTTTAAATAAATAAATAAATTCCAGTTAACATACAGTGTAATATTAGTTTCAGGTGTACAATACAGTAATTCAGCACTTCCATACATCACCCGGTGCTCATCAGGACAAGTGCCCACCTAAATCCCCACCACCCACCCCCCCTCTGGGAACCATCAGTTTGTTCTCTATAGTTAAGAGCCTGTTTCTTGGTTTGCCCCTCTCTTTTCCCTTTGCTCATTTGTTTTATTTCTTAAATTCCACATATGAGTGAAATCATATGGTATTTGTCTTTCTCTGACTGACTTATTTTCGCTGAGGATAATACTCTAGCTCCATCCATGTTGTCCCAAATGGCAAGATTTCATTTTTTTTTTTTTATGGCTGAGTAATATTACATTGTGTGTGTGTGTGTGTGTACACCACATCTTTTTTTTTTTTTAAGATTTTATTTATTTGACAGAGAAAGCGAGAACAGGAACACAAGCACGGGGGAGCTGGAGAGGGAGAAGCAGGCTCCCCACTGAGCAGGGAGCCTGATGCGGGGCTCGATCCCAAAATGCTGGGATCATGACCTGAGCCAAAGGCAGACGCTTAACGACTGAGCCACCCAGGTGCCCTATAGCACATCTTTATCCATTCATCAGTCTATAGGCAACCTACAGAATGGGAGAAGATATTTGCAAATTACATATCTGATAAAGGGTTAGTATCCAAAATATATAAAGAACTTAATAAAACTCAACACCCCAAACCCAAATAATCCAATTAAAATATCGGCAAAAGACATAAATCAGACATTTTTCCAAAGAAGACATACAGATGGCCAATGGATACGTGAAGAGATGGTCATCATCACTGATCATCGGGGAAATACAAGTCAAAACTATAATGAGATAATCACCTCACACCTATCAGAATGGCTAAAATCAATAACACAAGAAACAGTAGGTGTTGGTGAGGATGTGGAGAAAGGGGAACCCTCTTGCACTGCTGGTGGGAATGCAAACTGGTGCAGCCACTCTGGAGAACAGTATGGAGGTTCCTCAAAAGGTTAAAAATAGAACTACCCTATGATTTAGCAATTGCACTACTAGGTATTTACCCAAAAAATACAAAAATACTAATTCAAAGGGATACATGCCTCTTGATGTTTATAGCAGCATTATCTACAATAGCCAAACTATGGAAACAGCCCAAGTGTCCCACTTGGTACCTCCTTATTATACTTCTCAGCTATAACCACTGTCAGTGGTTTGCTCTGAGTTTTTCTGATGGTTTACCATCATGACTGATACACTTGTCTTCCCTTATCTTGATTCTAGCTATAGACTATATGTATGAACTTCCCACTTTTAAATATAATAGTGTACACATACCTCCTAATACCTTGCTTCTCTACCTTTCAATTTGTGTTACTATTTTTAGTTTTCCTAGTAGTACCTTTATTTTTTATATAACATATCTAAAAAACTTTTGATAGCAACTTATGACAGTTGTTATTAGCTTGCCACTGTTGAAAAATCTGGTATTTAGCTTTATCTGTTCTTATTCCATCTCTCAATTTTGATTAGTCAATATTTCTACATTGTAGAGAGGATTTTTGGACATTTTGGACATACGTTGTGCTCTATTATTTTCTGTGCTTTGTCTATGGATTGATTCTGAAATTACGTGATTATATATTATATCTAAACAGGAGTATGATTTGATAAATATAGTAGAATATGTAATTCTATATTACAAAATTTTTAAAACTCAAAGTAAAAGTCTTTCAAGTATCAAGTATCGTGAATCTTTCTTTAATTTCTTCATTTCTTCTGGATCCTGCTCCACAGCAGACTACTTTTTCTTTTTTTAAGATTTATTTATTTATTTGAAGGAGAGAGAGAGCACAAGTGTGCGTCAGGGGAGGAGCAGAGGGAGAGAATCCCAAGCAGACTCTCAGCTGAGCAGGGAGCCTGATGCGGTGCTCAGTCTCATCACCCTGAGATCATGACCTGAGCTGAAACCAAGAGTCACATGCTTAACCGACTGAACCACCCAGGCGCCCCGCACAGCAGAGTACTTCTTGTGACCCATGTTGTTGGTCTCTCTCATGTATATGTGCTATTTCTGTCTTGGTGCTATTCCTCTCTATCTTGGTCTCATTTTTCTGGAGCACATCTTTTGAAAAAGTGTTTTTATTAAGCATGGATGAAAACTTCCTGAGTTTTCACATATCTTAAAAATGTCTTTATTTTGTCTTCTCACTTGATAGTTTGGTTGGGTAGAGATTTGTAGATTGAAAACCCATTCCCTCAGATCTTTAAAAATATTTCTCCACTTTTAGTGTTGCTGTGAGAAATCTGATGTCATTGAGATTCTCATTTCCTTATCCATACTAGCTTTTTCTCCCTAAAAATATTAAAATTTTTCTCTCTATCTTTAGATTTCCAAAAGGTTACTAGGATGCATCCAGGTTTGGGCTTATTTCCATTTACTGTGCATATCTGTTGGGGTGCCAGGTCACTATATCTTCTTTTCCAAAGGATTTTTTTAACTTTTTTTTTTCTCATTTCTTTCCTTCCATTATTTCTGTTTTTCTCTTATGGAACTTATGTTAGACCATGGTCAAATACCTCTGTTGTCCTTGACTTGTAAATTTTATTTCACACTTTCAATTCTGCCTTTTTTTATTCTGTAATGTGGGGGAGTTCTGTGGCATTCATTCATTCATTCATTCATATGTTCTGTTTTTTAGCACTTTTAGTGTACGTTTCAAAAGTCTTTTTTTATGCGGTGCCTGGCTGGCTCAGTGCATAGAATATGCGACTCTTGATCTTAGGGCTGTGAATTCAAGCCCCATATGTGAGCGTGAAGCCTACTTTAAATAAAAACTAGAAACAACAAAAAAGTCTTTTTCTTAATTATAAAAATTTTCAAACATACACAAAAGCAGAGAAAAGAATGAAGTCCCATGTTCCAGTCTCCCACATTTCAGCAGTTACCAACTTGTAACCATATTTTCCTACCCATTCCTTCCTCACTGGGTTATTTTAAAGCAAGTCAGAGACATCATATAATTTCATTCATAACTACTTCGGTATGTATCTCTAAAAAAGTAATTTTTTAAATTAAACATAACCATAATACTTGTATCATACCACATGAAATTAACATTTGCTTAATATCACATATCATCAGTTCAGTAGGCTCAAATACTATTTTTTTTTATTCCCAATACCTTTATCTTATCCTAAAGCCACTCTTTTTTCATAGCCACTTTTATTTTTTCTTAAAGGTTGCAGGATCCTTTTGAATTTCTTCTGGGAGCTAAGATTCTTTTAAATATTTCTTCCTTTGTGCTGTTCATTTTCTATAAATTTCTGGTGATCCTTAGTTATTCATTCATTTTAATGAAAGACTGTTGGATTTGGCCTGAATTTCCTTTGTCTTCTTGTGGGCCTCTCCCTAAAGAGCTGACAGTAGGCTCTAACTAAGATTTCATGACAGGTAGATTTTTAGTGTATGTAGGCTAGCATCAAGCAAGCACATTATAACTGTTGTCAAAGTAAAGAAGACTTTTAGCCTGTGAATATCCCAGTGCTTTTGTGTATGAATTTTCCTTTTTCCTCCCATGTAGCCGTTTCATGTCTAGACGTGCTTGGCTCTTGAGACCTAGTGTCTGTAATAGGAACTCTCCCATCACCAGTGATCTCTTTCTAGAACTTGATAATGTTCAAAATCAATCTGTTCTATCCAGCAATATTTCTGTGGCATAAGGCATAACAGCATGGAAAAGAATACTTTTCTGCTGATTTTAACAAAGTCATTTTCTGTATCTTATTTGACGAACAAGGAACTTGGCAACTGATTATTTTTATACAACACTACAAAGTCCTAACTTTATTATTAACCATTACCAGCACTATAAATATAGATGTAAAAATGACTTGGTAGTAGAGGTAAAAATGGACTTTAAAGCAGGAGGCCAAAAGTCTGTAGATAAAAAAAAAATGTAAGGCTCCGATAATGTTTGAATTACCTGGTCCAGCAATTATAACTGGGTGAAGTAACAACAAAAATAAAGCCTTAAAAGGGTCCAAAGGCTAATAAGATACTGACTAATAAAATCCTCAGGAATTCTGGATCAAGAGTAGGGAGAGGACTAGAGCTCAGAAAACCAGCATGTGAAGGACTTTTGCACTGGAAGTATTCTCAGCAAGAAGTGGCTGAGCAGTAAAACCATGCTTTTCCTGGAAGGAGGGCAAGCATTAGAGTCTGGCATCTGCCAAGAATGGGGTGCTATGTGAACCACTAGTGGGCTGAAACCCTAAAGGCTGTAGCTTGGAATATGGGTTATAGTTTGCACTGTCACGGGGATGATCTAGAAAACCTCAAGCCTTTGTTCTGGCTTACCAGCATCCACAAGTGACTTGCAGAAGCAAACAGAAATCTTCTGTGGAACAAGATAACACTATTCTTTTCTTCAAGTTACTTTCACAAATTTTGAAATACACCCCCAGTTAAAAAATAAAAGATAAAGACACACATACAGAGGGCACCTGGGTGGCTCAGATGGTTAAGCGTCTGCCTTCGGCTCAGGTCATGATCCCAGGGTCCTGGGATTGAGTCCCGCATCGGGCTCCTGGGAGCCTGCTTCTCCCTCTGCCTCTCTGTCTCTCTCTCTCTCTCTCATGAATAAATAAATAAAATCTTTAAAAAAAAAAAGACACACATACAGAGACAAGACAGCAGAAGCCAAAAGTATCAGAAACAACAAGAAAACTCTGGAATTCTAGATATCAAACAGATGCTATGAAACAAATATGCTTATTGTGTTTCTGGAGATAAAAGCCAAGCTTGAAAGATTCAGCCAAGGAACACTAAATTGTAGAATTGAAAAATAAAATAAATTTAAGAACTCAGTAAATGAGGCTTATAGCAGATTAGACTAAAGAGAATTAAACTGTAAGGTCAGAAGAAATGATCCAGAGACCAAAAAAAGAGAAAAATATAGAAAAACAGATATATACCTTTAATTGATATACTTTATTGTATAGTCCCAGAAGATGAGCATGAGAATGAAGCAGAGGCAATATTTGTAGGCTTCGCGGTTGAGTATTTCTTAGAACCTGATCAGTGACGTCAATACACAATATTGACATGAAACCCAGTGAAATCCATGTGGGATAAATAAAAGGAAGGCCACACTTAGGAACATCGTTCTGAGGCTTCAGCAAACAACAACAAAGAGAAGACTATGAATGCAGCCAGAGTGAAAAGATTTTGTGGGGGGGTAAATTAGAGATTGCCATGGAGTTTTCATAAGGGTGCATGTTATAAATTTTAGGATAACCACTAGAAAACTAGAAAACCTTCCCAACTGTGATGAGAGAATGTTGGGGGAGGAAATGAAATGACTTTAAAAAAAAAAATCCAACAGTCAAGAATGAAGAGGAAAGGAAGGAACATAAAATAGACAAGACAAATATAAGAGGACAATAGATTTTGCCCCAAACATTTAAGCAACTATATTAATATTAACTGTAGATGGAACAAATGCTCTGTTTTCTGAAATATATATATTATCTAAAGGCTGGATTAAAATAAGGAGTCTCTTAACCACCTGATTTCCTTCTCATCCTTGATTAAGTGGATAACTGTATTGCCCCACTCTTGCCAAAGACTGTTGGGATACTCTTTGAATACTGTAAAACCGAGAATTTCTGGACTGGAAGACACCAGACAAAGTTGAGGAAGGAGGTGCCAAAAAGTAGGCTGATGGAAAGCCAAGTCACCACAGTGATGCTCAGAGTGGACAAGCCCCCTCATGCTCATGGCTACCAATCATTCTTTTAGTTCCTAACCCTTACATATGAAAAATACTCAAAGATTACTGGTCAGCAAAGGAAAGTCTCTTATGTGAACAATTTATCTCATAAAAGAGACTAAAATAAACAAGTTAAAAAGCTGTTTAGGAAGAAACAGGGATTAGGTGGGGAGAAGGAAAGTTTAAAAATTATCAATATCCTCATGGAGACAAAAATATTATGTTCCAGAAACAAGACAGAATTTTTTTTAATTAGAAAACAAAAAAGCTCTTGAAAATGAAAAGTTTGATAGCAGAAGGATTATAAAAAAAAAAAAGCTGGGAAAATCACCTAAAAAACAAGCAGAGAACGAGGGATGGAAAACAAAAGAAGAAAATTAGAGGACTAGTCCAGAAAGTATAATATCAGAAAATAATTGTTGAGGGAGAGAACAGATAAGTGAAAGGAAGAAAACTGTCAAAGACATCATGAACATTTCCCCAAACTGAAAGACCCAAGTTTCTAGATAGGAAGGGCCTCCCACTGAGTGCCAAATGTGGTATGTGAAAGTCATGCACCTCAAGGCACATCACTGGGAAACTGCAGAATATTCGGTACGAGAAAGGATCCTAATACTTCCAGAGATGCAGTGAAAAGATAATCACCGGAAAGGATCTGGAATCAAATTGGCACTGATTTCTTACCAACCATGCTGGCAGCTAGAAGGTATTGAAATAATGCCTCACAATTCTGAAGGGAAATTATTTCCAAACTAGAATTCTAAACCCAAACTATCAAATAAGTGGAAAGTAGTAAAAAAAGGGGGGAGGTGGTGATAAAGGGGGGCATATTCAGAAAAGGAACTGAAAGGGAGGCACTACAGGAAATCGTGTCCTACCAAAAAGAGAGAGTAACAAAAAGCTAGGAAGGGGCGCCTGGGTGGCTCAGTTGGTTAAGCGACTGCCTTCAGCTCGGGTCATGATCCTGGAGTCCCGGGATCGAGTCCCACATCGGGCTCCCCGCTCGGTGGGGAGTCTGCTTCTCCCTCTGACCCTCTTCCCTCTCGTGCTCTCTATCTCTCATTCTCTCTTTCTCTCTCAAATAAATAAATAAAATCTTTAAAAAAAAAAAAGCTAGGAAGAAGTGGGATTTAGGAAGTGAACTCAGAAAGAAACAAAGGGAATCCCCATGAACATAAGGGATTTTCCAGGATGACTGATCCAGATCTGGGATGGAGAGCAGCTGCACCAGATTGTAGCGGCAGCAGAGTTTCTTCTAGAGGATGAAGGAAGAGAGTACGTGAGGTGGCTGAGATACCGGATGATTCAGGCAATCGAATGAGTGTTTCAGTGTGAAATAATTTTAAGTACTGAAAAAGTAAAATAAGGACAGGAGAGTAACTTCAGGGAAAACCAAAAGTTATGCAGAAGGGGAGAACTAGTCATGACAGGGTGTTAATAATGGCACTGCTGTGAGTAACACTCATGAAGCCATAATAATATAGACGTTGACTACTGATTGATTCAGCCAAAATGGTGCTCTAACCATACTGGAAGAAGGGACGAGGCTGGGAATGTGAAAGAAAGCCAAGTACTCATTTCCTACAGGACGTCAATCAGGAGACATACAAGCAAGCTGTTTGAGAGAGAGAAATATAAAAATAATCAGCTAAAAGAATTCAAAGTAGCTGCCCATCTATAGAGCAAGAAGTGGAAGGGTTAAAGGTGGGCTGGGAATTGATGTTTCTTGTAACAAGTGTTGATGAATTGTATGCATGGTAATTTTGCTAATTGTAAAGACTAAATTGAGAAAAACCATCTCATATTTCTAAAGTTATTCTAGGAGATAAGAATTGTAACAGTTAACTAAGATCATTTGATTTTAACTCTCAGATTTCTGTTTTCTCTTGGCTGCTTTGTTTGAGGGGGTGGCTGTCTGGGGGGTAGTGTTACCATTAACTTGCTTTAAGTCTAGGAATTGATTTGGTTGCTTTCATAATTTGAAAAGTGACCTTACTAAATAAACTATTTAAAATGTTTTGTTAGGTGTGGCTTTAGCTGTTATTCTCTGTAACACCCGGCATATTAGTGACCATGTTTTCCTAGAAGCTGCAAAGGTAAATGTTTTAAATGTTGTTTGGCTCTTTTATCAGGATGAATTATAAAGATGAGTGGATTTTAATTAAAAGCAGAGAGAGAAAAGGGGTTAAATCTGCCTTATGAATGGAAAGCAAGTTATTCATCTGTTGCTTTTTTGATTTGGCTGTCTACTTTTACATAAGATTAATTTTTTATCGTGATTTTTCAAATGTTTGAATGTTAAGCTCTGAATCCTTTCATATATATAACACATACTGTGTCTGTTGTGTGTATATATATATCTGAAGGTAATATATTGTGACAGCATAGGTAAAATGTAACATCTTCATTTTTTTAATGGACAAATACTGGTTTATTTGGAGTGGGCTGGTCTGAGCACCAGAATGTAATGTGAGTTTTGAAGAACTCATATTAATACAGATTTTAATGTTTATTTTCATAGTAACTGATGTAATTATGCCAAACTTTGTAGGTATTAAGTAGAATATGTCAATAAACCTTTCAATCTGGTTATTTCTTGTTTAGCGGTGAACAGTTTTAATCTCTGCAGTGCTTTAAGCATATTCCTGCTAAAGATAAGAATTATGTTACCTGTATTATTTTCTGCTCCCCAAACCCCTTTTCCATTTTATTAGGTCCTTATTCTGTGTTATTTAAACAGTCAAAAATAAAATGCTGTTTTTCTCTTCAGGCTCTGGCAAATCAATTGACAGAGAAAGAGCTAGCTCAAGGGAGACTTTACCCACCACTTGCTGATATTCAGGAAGTTTCTATTAACATTGCTATTAAAGTAAGTATTAATTTACACCTTTTCACATAAATTTTAATGATGTTTCCTTAAGTAACACAAGTTTATTAGAGAAAAGTTTGAAACATTTCAAGGGTGCAAAGAAATTTTCGATCACCTATTTTCTTACTAAAATACAACCCACAATATTTTTTTTAAGATTTATTTATTTATTTGAGAGATAGAAAGATAGTAGGCGGAGGGGCAGAGGGTGAGGGAGAGAATCTCAGGCAGACTCCCTGCTGAGCAGGGAGCCCAGTGCGGGGCTTGATCCCAGGACCCCAAGATCATGACCTGAGCCAAATACAGACACTTAACCGACTGAGCCACCCAGGTGCCCCTGGGGGGGCACCCACACACCCTTTAAAATTATTGTGGTATGTGGGTGCCTGGCTGGTTCAATCAGTAGAGAGTGCAACTTGATCTGGGAGTTGTAAGTTGGTGTAAAGATTACTCAAAAATAAATCTTAAATAATAATTATTGTGGTATGTATAATGTGTATTATTTGAAACTATATGTTTCCCATTATGGTTTTTCAGTTTTTTCTTATATGTTTAAACTGTGCATTCTTTAAGATGAATTTTTCTACCAATTTTTTAAATTCAAAGAAAACCCTGCATCTATGTATGAAACTATCAGACTTATAAATTAATGAAATTGAGTCTTTGGGACTGGCTCTTCCCTCCCCACCAGTACCTCTTCCCACTCAGCACAGTGTTTCTTTTTTTAAGTCTTTCAATATAATTTTGTTGTTTTCTTCTCTAAACATGGTTATGTTGCTTAATACTTATTTTCCTAGATATTTAAAATCTTTTTTTAATTTAATTTAATTTTATTATGTTATGTTAGTCACCATACAGTACATCATTAGTGTTTGATGTAGTGTTCCATGCTCCATTGTTTTCTAAAATTTTTTTGTTCTTTATAATAAATGAAGATTTTTCTTTCCATATCTGTTTCCTCACTTATCATTTCTGGCATATAGGGGAGGTATTAATTTTTATGAATTTACTTGATAACTAGTTTGTTGAGCAGTCTTAACTCTTTTAATTAACTCTTTTGGAATTTTGAGTTTTGAATCATATGCAAGTAATTTTTTTCTTCATTTTTTATGTATTGCTCTTTTTTTCCCCTTTAAGAGCAGTTTTAAGCAACTGAGTTGATAAGGGCATCCTTGTATTTTAATACTAAATGTGATACTGGCTTTTGGTTGAAATAAATATTTTTTTATCTTTTTAAAGAAGTAATCTTCATCCCTAGTTTACTAAGATTTTCTTAAACATCAGGATTAGATATAGAATTTATCAACCACATTTTCGACTGTATGCTGATGATCATAAAATTTTTACCCCTTTGACTATAAATATTGTTGCATTATTTTAACACTCATAAACTAAATAAAGATTGGGAATTAGAGGATGATATGTTTAAGAAGTAATAGCCAGGGGCGCCTATGTGGCTTAGTCAGTTTGGTTGAGCATCCGACTCTTAATTTGGGCTCAGGTCATGATCTCAGGGTCATGAGATCAAGCTCCATATCAGGCCCCGCACTTGGTGGGGAGTCTGCTTGAGATTCTCTCCCTCTGCCCCTCCCGCCACCTCACACACACTCTTGCGTGCTTTCTCTCTCACTCAAATAATCTTTAAAAAAAAAAAAAAAAGAAAGAAAGAAAGAACAGCCAATCCAGGGGCACCTGACTGGCTCAATCAATGGAGCATGTGACTCTTCATCTTGGAGTTAGGAGTTTGAGCCCCATGATGAGTGTAGAGATTACTTTAAAATAACATCTTAAAAAATAAATAAATAACAGCCAATCCAGTTGAGCTGGAGTCCAAAGTATAGGTAGGAAAATGGCATAAGACGGGATTTGCAAGTTACCTGAAGGCCAGCTTGTACAGACACACAAATGCCAGGCTAAGGAGTCTAAATACGTTACTGCTGCAAAACAGCTGAGGATTTTAGAGCCCAGAGCTAGGATGAAAAGAGCTCAGCCTTAGATAGAATCATACTACATTTGGGACAGATTTTGGAACATATCAGTCAGTTAGGAGATTACCAGTGTGTCCTGATGAAAGGTCATATGAAATAGAAGGAGATACCTGTGCTTAGGGGTTGGTACAGGAGCGTAGCCACAGGATCATGCCTCTTCTCCCTTCCCCAGGGTAGAGAATTTGCTCCTTCTTCATTGGCTTAAGGTTTTCCTTTTTAAGAGCAAGGGATCAGGAGACTAGGTGGTGCTTTGTTTCTGTCCCTCACTCCGTCCCACAGCCAGTGAGCATCTCTGATCTCATGCTTTGCCCCAGCCTTTTCTGTGTGTACAAATATGTTTCTTAATAGGCTAGAAAATAACTGAAACACATTTTCATCACAAAATACAGTAAGGTTGAGTCCCTGGGATGAAAGGTTGTTTTTAATAACCTTCATTTTTTGGTTAAATTTTTTCTTAGAAAGCTGAAATAAACTTTCATAATGGTCACCAGTTGAAATGGGAATTGGAGGGGCGCCTGGGTGGCTCAGTTGGTTGGGCGACTGCCTTCGGCTCAGGTCATGATCCCAGGGTCCTGGGTTCGAGTTCCGCATCGGGCTCCCTGCTCGGCGGGGAGTCTGCTTCTCCCTCTGACCCTCCCCCCTCTCATGTGCTCTCTCTCTCTCTCTCATTCTCGTGCTCTCAAATAAATAAATAAATCTTCAAAAAAAATGGGAATTGGAGTAGGATTGTTTGAATTTTTTTAATCATGCATTACAGTATTTTTTTTAAGTTAAAATGAAATCATAACTTGAGAATTTACTATATAATAGGCACTCTGCTATCCTGTGAGGAAGCTTTCCATACTATCTCATTTTACATCAAAACTGAGGCTCAGAGAGGGTTTACCCTCATCACCAGTCATGCTTTGTGTGGCTTGCTTACAAATATCGGAAAGCCACTCAAGCCAAATGAGGTGGAAATTAATCTGGCTTAACTGTTTCGGCCCTGGGATCTATAATCTGAATGCTTTGGGTTTGAGACACAGCTCTCATTTAACTATTCTGGGCAAGTTACTTACTTAAACTTCTCATACTTTGGTGTCCTCCTATGTAAACTGAGGATAATACTACCAGTACTTACCTCATAGGATTTGTGTGAGGATTAAATGAGCTGTACATGTAAAACACATGGAACATGCCTGGCACTCCATGATGGTGGTGGCAAGTTGCCGTGTGTAGGTGCCAGCCCTAACTTTACTTGACCTTATAGTTCTGGTGTCCAACACCTGATTTATAATAATTTCTGTGTCTCTTAACCCAAATTCTAGAGCAAAAACACCTGGCTCACATTAGGTTAGGTTTTCACCCCAGTCCAGTCATCTGTGGGTAGGAAATAAACTCTCCTACATGCTACTTGAAAGTGTGCGAAGGACATGGGCTAGGCAGGTCGCCCAAGTAGGGCTATTTGACTGACACAAAGTAGAGCTTAAAATTGTTTGTTAGATTGAAGTATTAAGGAAATGCCAATAATGGGGGGGAGGGGTTTTAAAATACATCAAACTTATGGTGAAATTGCAGATTATTTTTATTTTATCTTTCAAGTTTTAATAGTTTCCAAGTGTTTTGAAATGAGTCAAAGTAATGTTATTTTTTTTTTAATTTGAAAAAAGAAAAATGTCTTTCTTCTAAATTCATGTCCGTGGGTTTTAATAGTACTTTTTTTCTCAGGTCAATACTCAGAGCCTACGCAGTCATCTTATTTATTTTTCAGGTTACAGAATACCTGTATGCTAACAAAATGGCTTTCCGATACCCAGAACCTGAGGACAAGGCCAAATACATTAGAGAAAGAATATGGCGAAGTGAATATGATTCCCTGCTGCCAGATGTGTATGACTGGCCAGAATCTGCATTAAGCCCTCCCCTGATAACAGAATAGAGGCACACCCACTGAAAAATACTTTCCATGCTTCAGGGAAACCCCTCCTTTTTTCTTTTCTTTTTTTTTTTTTTTACAGAAAAAAGAGATAATGTTCTCAAATTCGTGGTATTTTCCTGTTTTGTTCTCCCCCACTGCTTTGCTTGACTTTTTTTTTTTTTTTCCATGAATCTGTACTTCCATAGTGGATCAATATGTTGGCTACATTGTGAATGCCCACCAGTACTCTGCAATCAAATGACCATAATGCTTTTCTTCTGATTTGTAGCTCATACCACATCAAAGAGATGTTACAGATGTATTTGTAAATGTCTTTACTTGTGCTATTGTTCATGCTTGCCAAAGTATTTGCTATTTACTACTACAGTAATAATCTTCTCTCCCCAGCTCTTTTAGGGCTACTAAAATAGAAATTTACTTCTGTGGATATGAGCATAGAATTTTAAGAAGCCAAATTTAACCAGATTATAAGGACAAACTGTCAGTATCTAAAAGTTCTTTTATTTCAGCCTCATTTTATCTTCATGCTCTGAAATTCCTTTCCAGTTGATAAATACAGAGAAATGCGAAAAATCTACCCTGTTATTTATTTTCTGGACCTAAACTGAGGCTTAACTATAATATCATGAGAGAGAAATGGGAAGTACTGCTGTCTTTAGAGAAATAAACAAAATAGTCATTGTTTTCAACAGTGTATAAAAATCATAGTGTAACTTTTTTATTTAATAAAGGTAATATCTTAAATTTAATTGCTTCAATTAATGCGATTTTATTGTCCAACTAGAAATTTAGGTTTGCTTATTATGAAAAATACCTATTTTCATTTTATTTATTCCTAGATGATTCAAAGGAGGGGATATAATGTATAAATTATAACTGACATCATGTGACTTTTAACAAATTAGTCCTGTTTCACATCTGAATGAAGCATATTTAACAAGAGAGGCTATCCCCCTATTCCAGTAGTGGTGCTCTTTATTATTTGGATAATTTTGGAATGTCTTTATGATACATTCCTTTGAATACCATTAGTGACAACTCTTTCCACTGAAGATGAATTTAATTTTTTGAAACCACCAAATTTAATTTAGAGCTAAGTGGGGATGAATAAGGTAGGTGTACAGACCAGGAAATGCCATTTTTAATCCCAGTAAAACGGGTAACAATTGGCCAGTGTGACCAGTTTTCTTATGACTTATGTATTGGAGAGTTCTAAAAGAAAACCCAAAAGTATTTGGAAAGTTAGTACTATTACTTGATAATGTGCCTAACATAATTGCTTTGAAGGAACAAAAACTTATTTTAAGTGCTTATTCTAGAAGATTAACTACAAAAAGTTATTCATAGCTACGTGTAAGCACATTATTTGGTATTTCTCTCCACAGTCCTTGATATGTTAGATGTGATATTTTGTAGGGGGAAAAGGGCATCATTTATATGTTCATATGTCCTTCTATGTATAGGTAGAGATTGATTCATACTAATTTTGAATATAATTTAACATTTTAAGAAGGCTTGAAATGGCACTGCCATTTGGAGTATTTTAAAATGCAATTGATTAATCCATTTAGCAGATGAGTAAAGTCAGAAGTCTGTTATATAAATCTGTTTTATAAAATAAGCAATCAGGTCGCTATTTGTTTCTTTTAATTAAAAGTGAAAGGTTTATGTTTTTCATGTTACCTTTGTCAAAATAAAATCACCCCCAAAAATACTCTCTTGACTTTAGTTTAACATTACAAGCATAATAATTACAAATTTTGTTTTTTGCTTATGCTGAGTTAATGTTAATTTTACTAAGATGTTTGCTTAGTAAATATGTCTGGTACGGTCTTTATGGAAATTATATTTTAAGGAAAAAGGCAAAGCCAACTGGCATATAGCCTGCTTATTAAATAAGACAGAAATCATATATATATATATATTTATAAGACCAGTAATAAACTGGTTGGTAAATAACACATGAGAATAGGTGGCTTTTAATGAATCCATATTTATCTGGAGAAATAAGATATATTTATACATACTATATGAGATATATAATAAATAGAATATTTATTAATATATATTATATATATAATGTATATTTATTAAAAGCCACCTATTCTCAAGTGCTATTTACCAACCAGTATTTTACCAACCAAGTAACAACTGTTGGATGTAAATTGAATAAAAAATTGAAGAACATAGGCAGGAGCTACCAGCATGGTGGGAAGGGGTTGGTGGCATTATGGCATCAGATTGGAAAAGAAACAAACATTCAAATCTTCTACGGAAAGTTTTACCGAGCAAGAAGGTAATTATTTTTAAAAACAGCAATGGAGAGAAATTTTCATTCTTTTGAATAGAGAAGAGATTCTGTAAGATTAGTCTGTCAGAAATTACTTAGTAGGGGAAATTGAGAACACAGGTCCTCATCTGGCACCACCACCCATGGTGTGAAAGAGACTGGATGAGTTGTGGGGTAAGGTTTATGGACTTGAACATTTGGTAAACATGTTAAAGATTTTGGTTAAAATCTTTTTTAAAGGACGGTTTCTGAACCAGGAAGTTGCTTCAGAATCACCCTGAAGCTTCTTTAAAATGCATATGCCTCTACGTCCTTCCAGGCCCTCTGGGCCCCCAGGAGCAGAGTGCTGGCAGGTGTATTTTCAGCAAGTTCCCAGGGGATTCTGATGCACACTTCCCCTGCCTCTCATTTGCTGCCTTAAAGTGGACATCCGAATCACTCGGAGAGCTGATTACTCCTGGTGATGTAGTGGGTCTGGGGTAGAGCCTGAGAGTCTATATTTCTTACCAGCTCCCAGGTGGTGTCCAGGCTACTTGCACAGAGAAGGCATTGAGTACTGAGTGTGGTGTGCAGTTTGTCTAGTGCTCATATACTTTATATGAAAGAGATAAATTATGTTCTTACATAGAATTGGTTTCATCTGTTTTTCTTATGTCTAGTTTTTATGGGATGTTTATAGGGACAAAAATATAGAACTTTTAAACAGATTTCTCTGAAAATACATGACTAGAATACTGTTCAGTTCTCAAGTATAGTTTTTAAATTCACTTATTAAGTAAAACCTAGCAACCAGTTTTCATTTTTGAAAAGGTTAGCTATCAAATGGATAATTGTTTCTTCTCTATTGGTTGTCTTTTAATATGACTTACCCTATCTTTTGTCTTTTCTTTCTCTAAAATTACCAGCTTCTGAAGAAATAAGAGTCTGCATTCTCCTTTGCAAAGGAGTTGCTAATGAATTAAGATCAAAGCATAATTATTAAGGGGCATGGAGCATTATTTACTGCTTTCAGATAACTGAGAAAGCCCAAAGGGGTTAGAGGAGTGGGAAAGCCTTGCCTTCATCCAGATGTTCTGTAGCTTTTTTCCCAAGCCCATTCAGTATCCGTCAAAGAGAACTTCATATTCTTGAACAGTTCCAGGGTTCTGGTGGATTCACCAAAATGGAATCAGCTCTGCCAAGCATAAATAACACTTAAGAACATTCATGTAAATATCAAAGCTCTCTACTGGGATTCCATTTAAAGGAACTATTATAAATAATGAAATAGCACCAATATCATATTTCCATTCAAAACAAGACCACACATGTTCAGGTGCAGGCACATTGCTGACTTTATAGAAAACACAGATTCATTATCTACTTTGGTTTTCCATTAATGTGTGATTTGCACTTTAATGTGCATCTAAATGTTAAAATGAAATAAATTCTCTACAGCCAAGCTAAATGAAGTAATATTTAAAATATTCAAGATAATTTGAGTACAGAAAACTTCCCCCTCATCTGAAATGAGGATGTTTTAATATTAGCAGAGAAAAAGCTCAATGCTTTGTTTCAAATTTTAATAAATTCAACAGGGCCTAATTAGGACATGGCTCTTACTTATTGCATAATTATTGCCAGGAGCTTCTCAAGTAAACTGGTGATTAGATTTTAAAATAATATTCTTTTCCCTTTCTTGGAAAAGAAAAATTGTGCCTCTCAAAGAGAAAAGTAACATGATATGATATAATATGGAAATGTGTTCATAGAAGTATACAAATTAAGTCAGATGACTTTGGATGGTTTGTATATTTATGTAACAGGTTTTTACCAATAAACACTTTTTCGTATTTCTATTTAATCTTGTTTTTTTCCCAAATAAAAGCTTATTTGCCACTTCTATCTTTGGGAAGTTATCCCTACATTCAGAACACTTTTTAAAGTTTTATGACAAAGGGAAAACTTGTGGGTATCTATTTCCCAGTTTTCAGTATGTCCTTTTATGTCCTAGAAAAATTATTTTCCCTTTCCTAATTTTAAGCGTATATTCTAGTAAATTGATTCCTAGAGAGGCATTGAGTTGTCACTAATATAGTAGGTATGTACAGTTAGCAAATAATTCTAAAGTAAACTTTATGGATAGCACCAGGCCTTGTTCTAAGCATCTAATATGCATCAGCATAATTAATTCTCAAATCCCCTTCTGTCACTGCACCTGTTTTACAGAGAAGACCACAGGCACAGAGAGGTTAAATGCTTTGCCCAAGATCCCAGCTGGTGAGTAGCAAAGCCAGGGCTCGCTTTAACCTCAGCCCCTCTCAAGGAAGAAGGGCCTCTGTGACAGGTGATTTTTTCTGGATCTTAAAGAATTGTTATTTCAGATGAAAAGTCTTCACCTATTCTAAGATTAGGCTTAAGTCCTTTTTAATGTGTTTTAGCAGTTTGATTTTTACTTTGTTCCCATTTATAACTCAAATACAATATAAACCTATTTTATTCATTAGTCTGCAGCATTTTAAGTACTGGATTGTAAACATAAAAGATGTGGTTTTGAATTTGGTAAATGACACCAAAGATTCTCAATAGTCAGTTTATTAACATCTTTAGATTTGGTAATCTTTCCAGAACCACCAACTACTATCACTTCTGTGCAAACCAGTTTCAATAATGCTTATAACTTTGTGACTCTGCCAATGTCAATGTGAATTGTAAGATATATTTCCCTATCTTGATACAATGATATTCTGATACAATGATAGCTTTTGTATTATATGCATACATATAACTTCTTCCATTAAAA